ATATGGAACTTAATATGAGTAAAGAGAAGATCCAAATGTCCCTGATGCATTCCCTCTTTCTTCTAAAGATGGGTCTAGCTATGCCCAGATATGGTTGTTTAATACATGTGAAGACACTTTACATCTTGGTTTTAGTAATTATTTATTATACTTTGAAGTAGCAAAACAATCAATGTAGTTCCCCTCCTTACATTCCTCTCTGTATAAAACCCAACAGTACTGGAGGGGAGTAGTATGATCCTTTGGTAAGAGATATAAAAGCAACTTGCAGGGAAAATTATAGTTTTCTTTTAGTGTACAGAGACACCAAAGCGTGTTGGCCACACCATTGCAAAGGCAAGTTTGGAAAAATGAACATATACATGGCTTAATCTCAATCTATTCATACCAGAACAGGGAAAACAAACACAACTCCTTAAGCCTTTCTTGGCGGCTCTATGAAGGATGCCAAAGAAGCCAAAAGTACTTGTGGAAACGACTCACATCAATGTAATCTGGATGAGACCCCAGTGGTGCAGTGGGTTAAACCCTTGTGCCGGCAGGACTGAAGACTGACAGGTTGGAGGTTCGAACCTGGGAGAGTGCGGGTGAGCTCCCTCTATCAGCTCCAGCTCCTCATGCGGGGACATGAGAGAAGCCTCCCACAAGGATGATAAACCATCAAAACATCCAGGCGTCCCCTGGGCAACATCCTTGCAGACGGCCAATTCTCTCACACCAGAAGCGACTTGCAGTTTCTCAAGTTGCTCCTGATACGAAAAAAAACTAATCTGGAGTCATAATGCAGCAGGCTTCAGGTTATGAGGAAGTCATACCTCTATTGCATAAGGAGAATATCTTTTCAATCCTGTACTAGTTGCCTTGTCCCATCCTGACAAAGGATCCCTGATCCAAGGTACCTTTCGAACAATAGGAAGGACGGAAGGACAGACTGCAGAATTGATACAGTTTGACCTCACTTTAACTGCTGTTGCTCAATGCTATGTAATCCTAGGATTTGTAATTTAGAATTCTATGGCTAAGAAAAGACCTTGTAAAATTACAGATACCATAATTTCATAGCAATGAGTCACAACAGTTAAAGTTGTGCTAAACTGAATTATTTCTACACCTGTAGAATGAATGAAAAGGAAAGCAGAAGGATGTGGAGGCAATGAATGTTGACTTCCGCTGGATCTACACTGACTATATAATGCAGTTCCAAACTGCATTATATGGAAGTGTAGATCCAACCTTGGTAACCAATGCTAAACGAGAAGGCATTTTCCTAGGAGATGGGGATTTGTATCCAACCATAAACACCAAAAGGCAAACTGTCCTTTTGCTCAAGATGGGCCTTTGACTTTCTCATGGTGGATGGGACAGTGCCTTGTACTACTTCCTGAGCCGATGAGTTGTTGTTTAGCCCCTGCTGGTGTGGCGTTAAGCCACGGAGTGGTGCTCCGTCCCCTGCGTCTCGTTTTCCGGCACTGGCGCCACTTCGATCTCCTCGGGAGTGACATATTCGCCCGTCTCATTGAAATCCTTGCTGGGTGGCACGGCGGTAACTGGTGCGTTTTCTTGGCTGGGAATCGCCACATTCTCCGACGTCAGGGGCTCCTTCTGAGCCATAGTCCTGCAGAAGCGGAAGATTAGATTTATAGTCAACCACCAACTTTTGCAATCTTTCAGTCTCTGCTCAAAAACAACCAACCATGATGTTCAGTGGGAGAATGCATTGAGAGCCTGGAATATCTGACAGACAGTCATGGGCCACAAGTCCCAACATCCATGCCAACTGGAGATGATAGGAATCACAATTCAGCCCATCTGGCTTAATTTTTTAAAAGTTACAAAGCAGAAATAATAATAATAANGGCTTTATTTCCTGGAGGATGGACTGGTTGGATCTTCTCCACGTTGTCTCCCTCTATTTTCCAGTTGTCAATCATTCTTGTTTCCATAATCTTGATGTTTAGCTGCAACCCAGCTTTTTCACTTTCTTCTTTCACCTTGATTAGAAGGCTCCTCAATTGTTCCTCGCTTTCAGGCATCAAAGTGGCGTCATCTGCATATCTAAGGTTGTTAACGTTTCTTCCAGCAATAGATAGCATAGTGTTAGACATTACCAAACAGATATTAACAAACTTCAAAAAACAAAACAAAGCTAGAGCGTGCGTGGGTGTGTGCAAATGAAAGGTGGCATCGACGTATTTTGTTTTGGGTTGTTGTAAGTTTTTTCGGGCTATATGGCCATGTTCTAGAGGCATTCTCTCCTGACGTTTCACCTACATCTATGGCAAGCATTCTCAGGAGTAGTGAGGTCTGTTGGAACTAGGAAAATGGGTGAACTGTGTTGTAGGTTTTTTCAGGCTATATGGCCATGTTCTAGAGGCATTCTCTCCTGACATTTCGCCTGCATCTATAGCAAGCATCCTCAGAGGTAGTGAGGTCTGTTGGAACTAGGAAAATAGGTTTATATATCTGTGGAATGACCAGGGTTGGACAAAGGACTCTTGTCTGCTGGAGCTAGGGGTGAATGTTTCAACTGACCACCTTGATTAGCACTTGATGGCCTGGCAGTGCCTGGGGCAATCTTTTGTTGAGAGGTGATTAGAGGTATTTCGTTTTGTTTCCAAACCTCACAGAAAACTCCCACACGCCTCTGTTGGAGGGCACCGTCACTCAGATGACCCCGGAAGAGCATTATCGGCGCATGATGTCCGCTCTCAACGAACACGGCACCTTTGAGGAGCAGCAGCAGCAGCAGCAACGCCTCTATCAGTTGGCCAACAGCATGGCAGTGCCCAGCCACAGCGGTGAGTGCGCATAAGCTTCTCTCTCTAATGTATGAAGAATATTGGTTCATACCTATATCCTGAAATGTCACTGGACTCCCAGGGAGCATATTGCACTGTTGAACAGCTCTTACAGTCATAGAAAAATGCTATGTACATTAAGTCTCCTTGTGTAGAGGTTTTTAAGCAGAGGCTGGATAGCCATCTGTCAGGGGTGCTTTGATTGTGTTCTACTGCCTGGCAAAAAGGGGGTTGGACTGGATGGCCCTTGGAGTCTTTTCCTGCTCTGATCCTGGCACTACTACTCAATATGCTCGAATGTGAACACTGGTGGAGTTTGGGGGGAAATAGACCTTGACATTTGGGAGTTGTAGTTGCTGGGATTTATAGTTCACCTACAATTTAAGAGCATTCTGAACTCCACCAACGATGGAATTGAACCTATCTTGGGCACAAAGAGCTCCCACAACCAACAAAAATACTGGAAGTGTTTGGTGGGCATTGACCTCGAGTTTGGGAGCTGTAGTTCACCTACATTTAGAGAGCAGTGTGGGCTCAAAGAATAATGGAACTGGACCAAACATGGCTCTAATACTCAATATGCTTGAATTTGAACACTGGTGGAGTTTGGGGGGAAATAGACCTTGACATTTGGGAGTTGTAGTTGCTGGGATTTATAGTTTGCCTGCAATTAGGCAAACTATAAATTCCACCAACGATGGAATTGAACCTATCTTGGGCACACAGAACTCCCATGACCAACAGAAAATACTGGAAGTGTTTGGTGGGCATTGACCTTGAGTTTTGGGAGCTGTAGTTCACCTACATCCAGAGAGCAGTGTGGACTCAAAGAAAGATGGTTCTGCACCAAACATGGCACTACTACTCAATATGCTTGGTTTTGAACACTGGTGGAGTTTGGGGAAAATAGATTTATAGTTGTTGGGATTTATAGTTCACCTACAATCAAAGAGCATTTTGAACTCCACCAATGATGGAGTTGATCTTATCTTGGGATTTATAGTTCACCTACAATCAATGACCATTCCGAACTCCACCAACGATGGAATTGAACCTATCTTGGGCACACAGAACTCCCACGACCAACAGAAAATACTGAAAGAGTTTGGTGGGCAATGGCCTTGTGTTTAGGAGTTATAGTTCACCTACATCCAGAAAGCATAGTGGACTCAAACAACGATGGATCTGGACCAAACTTGGCATGAATACTCAATATGCCCAAATGTGAACACTGGTGGAGTTTGGGGAAAATAGACCTTGACATTTGGGAGTTGTAGTTGCTGGGATTTATAGTTCACCTCCAATCAAAGAGCATGCTGAACTCCACCAATGATAGAATTGGGCCAAACATCCTACACAGAACCCCCAAGACTAACAGAAAATACTGTGTTTGGGTTGTTGTAGGTTTTTTTTTGGCTAAAGGAAATTTACTATTATTTATATCATAGTGTTATTATTTATTTATTATTATTGATTTATTTACACTGGGTTGTTGTAGGTTTTTTCCGGCTACTCCAAAAGGAAATTTACTATTATTTATATTATAGTGTTATTATTTATTTATTTATTTATTATTTACACTGGGTTGTTGTAGGTTTTTTCGGGCTGTATGGCCATGTTCTAGAGGCACTTTCTCCTGACGTTTCGCCTGCATCTATGGCAAGCATCCTCAGAGGTAGTGAGTTCTGTTGGAAATAGGAAAAGGGGTGAACTGTGTTTTCTGGTGGTTTTTGGTGCCCCCTCTGACACCCCATTTGCGACCACCCCCAGGTTGGGAGATGCTGTTCTATGGCGAAGTAAGCTCAAGTTCTCTTCCATCTCTCAGCTGGACTAACTGGGGAAAGTAGGTCCAGGCTGGGATCAGGCACAGCTTCGATTCCCGCCAGCACAAAGTGCTGTTTATCTATGGCACCGGCGGACGTTTAATAATTTAGGATCCCTTTGGGGAGGGGGGGGGCTTAATTGCTTGTCTCTGCTTCTCTCCCCGCTTTCTCCGGCACATGCTGCCCTCCATCAACATTAATCCCGCACCCTCCCTTCTCCCCGCCTGGAGCTGCCATCCCTGGAGCATCCCTCTGTCAATCACTCTTGATTTCCGAACCGTCGGAGGGAGCGGAGGGAGCCAAGCATTGTAAATAACACGTCCTCTGTATTTGTGGGGGGCGAGAGGGGTGGGTCATGGCGGTCATTCGGATCAATGCCGCAGCCCTCCCCTCTGCTGCAATAAAGCCCTTTTCGGATAATTAATTTATCAACAAGGGAAAGCTGCGTGTTCAGTATGTTCTCCGTTGAGTCCTCATCCTGTTATTGGCTTTCCTGAGTCCTGAGTAGCGTACCTGGATTTCAGGAAGGCCTTCTTCGACAAGGTC